AAGGAAGAGAGGCGGAACGGACTCCTGCTCAACAATAGTTCTGGAGGGTTTGGCAGCTCCTTTAATCGAAGAGTTTAAGAGGTCAGAGGAATACAGCAGACACGAGAGACGCCTTTTAGCAAAAAGTAGGTCAGGAACATTAAAATGCGTTTTTTATTGCTATATGCATACACACACATCCCACACTTCAGCACATCAAAAGTGTGGCTCAGATCTGAATTATTCATATTCTCAGCACTGTGGTGAACTCAAAGTTAAATTTATTTGTCTCAGTCCAAATACTGCTTGCCTAAGCGATCTAACCAAACACATTAATTCTCACATGACAACAAAAGGCAAATACATATGTAATATTTTCTTATGTAGTATTTTAGAAGATCACCCTGTATATGTTGTAAACAAAAGAGACACATAATATGTTTCTAAGAATCACACTATGAAAGATTTATCTTGCCCAACTTGACAATAATATGGTGCTCATTGGAAATATTTAATGGAAAAGTTGAGGTTTAGCAGGTTACGGACCTTTACCCTAATTTTTCAGACATAATCAATTGCCATTAACTGTCTTAAACGCAGACCCCTGCCTACACACAGACACACTCACAGTAAAGCTAAAGATAACTGAAAAGTGAAAAAGAGGACCTATGGGTGAAGCTGAGATAACGACTGGTTCAGACAGAGCTGGAGACAGAGGCAGAGAGTCAATAATTCATACTAGACAGATTATGCCACTCTTTCTCTGTTCCTCTCTGCCTCTCTCTCTTTACCACACACACATACTCAAATGTCCAGTCATGGAGGAATCCGTCCTTCTCTGACCCCTAGCTGTGTGTTCATCAAAAGTCAACTGTAGCCAGACAAAACTCTCTCTGAACCTGACCGTAACTCTTCTGTGTGAACCAATCCATAACTCGAAAAGAAAATTCTGTCTGAACTCGACTGCAGCCTTACAAAATTCTGTCCAAACTCGACTGATGCCTTTCAAAATTCTTTCCAAATCTGACAGCAGCCAACAATATGCTGTCCCAATGCAACTGTGGTCAACAAAAATTCTGTCCAATCCTGACTGTAGTCAAAAATTCTGTCCGAACGTAAATCTGACTGTTGCCCAACAAAATTCTGTCCAAACCCGACTGTAGTCAAGAAGATTCTGTCAGAACCTGACTAAAGCCTGACAAAATTCTGTCTGAATGTAACTGTAGTCAAAAAATTCTGTCTAATCCTGACTGAAATCAAGAAAATTCTGTCCAATCCTGACTGTAGTCAACAAAAATTCTGTCCAATCCTGACTGAAATCAAGAAAATTCTGTCCAATCCTGACTGTAGTCAACAAAAATTCTGTCCAATCCTGACTGAAATCAAGAAAATTCTGTCCAATCCTAACTGAAATCAAGAAAATTCTGTCCAATCCTGACTGAAATCAAGAAAATTCTGTCCAATCCCGACTGAAGTCAACAAAAATTCTGTCCATCTGAATTGAAGTCAAGAAACACTGAAGTCAAGAAAATTCTGTCCAATCCCGACTGTAGTCAACAAAAATTCTGTCCAATCCCGACTGAAGTCAACAAAAATTGTGTCCAATCCCGACTGTAGTCAACAAAAATTCTGTCCAATCCCGACTGTAGTCAACAAAATTCTGTCCATTATTATCCCAATAATATTGTATCCAAACCTGCCTGTGGCCTAAATGAAGACCATAATCTGCAAGTTGGTAGACGGGCTACGAGACACCTAAATGCATAACATAGTCACTCAAGCCCAACAAACATTTGATAAATATTGAAGTGAATAGTCAAGCTCCAATTTGATCTGGATATTACAGATATGTAGGTCCTTTAACCATTTTAGTGGAGCATATTATCACAAGGTACTTTCAGTAGCATGAAACAAATACACTGGCACTGATAAAGAACTAGTGGGGTATATATGGAGACTAAGTGCGTATGAGATGGAATCTGAAAGCCAGATATAAAGAAAAGAGAGCAGTCACACATTAGAGAGAAAACACTGTATCCTGACATAATAAATTAAAAGGCAAATTCCTCATATGCAGTTTGTAGTATAAAGATGTGTGCAGTTGTGTGTGGTATAAATCCTATGAAGTAAAGGCCTTTGTGCTTCTTTGTAGCCCAATGCTGCAACAGCACCAATCACAGAGGACAGCTCTAAAAATAGAGCCCGCTCTTCACAAGAACACCTGACAAATCTCTCTCTCTCTCTCTGTCTCTCTCTCTCTCTCAATCCCACTTTCTGCCTCCCTGTAGCTGCTGGTACTGCAGATCCAATACCTGTTTCTGCAGTAATTAGATTCAGTGAGGAGTGAAGAACGAAGCATAACCATCAGCAGTCTTCTATCAAGAGCAGAGCCTCCAGCACACACAGCGTTGTTTTCATACCTCATCAGAACGTGGAGTCATACATACAACATGTCCTATAATAATTTGCCTTAGATGTGATGTCTATAACAATGTATCTATATGTTACCCATATGTTATATATGTGCATGTGTGTGTGTATACATAAATATATATATATATATATATATATATATATATATATATATATATACACATACACACACACACACACCAATCAGGCATAACATTATGACCACCTTGTTTCTACACTCATTGTCCATTTTATCAGCTCCACTTACTATATAGGTGCACTTTGTAGTTCTACAGTTACAGACTGTAGTCCATCTGTTTCTCTGTATACTTTGTTAGCCCCCTTTTACCCTGTTCTTCAGTGGTCAGGACCCCCATGGACCCTCACAGAGCAGGTACTATTTGGGTGGTGGATCATTCTCAGCACTGCAGTAACACTGACGTGGTGGTGGTGTGTTAGTGTGTGTTGTGCTGGTCTGAGTGGATCAGACACCGCAGTGCTGCTGGACTTTTTAAACACCTCAGTGTCACTGCTGGACTGAGAATAGTCCATTAACCAAAAATATCCAGTCAACAGCGTCCTGTGGGCAGCATCCTGTGACCACCAAAGAAGGACTAGAGGAAGATTAGCTCATACTGTACAGCAAGAGATGAGCTGTCGTCTACAGCGTGGACCAACAACGTAGGTGCGTCTAATAGAGTTGACAGTGAGTGGACACAGTGTTTAAAAACTCTGTCTGATCCACTCAGACCAGCACAACACACTAACACACCACCACCACGTCAGTGTTACTGCAGCACTGAGAATGATCCACCACCCAAATAGTACCTGCTCTGTGAGGGTCCATGGGGGACCTGACCACTGAAGACCATGGTAAAAGGGGGCTAACAAAGTATACAGAGAAACAGATGGACTACAGTCTGTAACTGTAGAACTACAAAGTGCACCTATATAGTAAGTGGAGCTGATAAAATGGACAATGAACGTAGAAACAAGGAGGTGGTCATAATGTTATGGCTTGTTGTACAAGATTAACTAAGCAAAGTAGATTTAAGTATTACAGTGTTCATCAGATGTTTCCTTCAATACAGAATGAGCATGTTAAAATCAAATGCAATAATAAAAATACAGTATTACTAAAAATACAGTTTTTAACTCTAACCTTCACTTCAAAACCTTAATAACTGTTAAACTAAATGCTTTCGTTCTTTCAGTTAAACAAAAATTAGACAAAACTTTTGTAAAAAAAAAGCACTTTACAAAGTCAACATCATTTTTTAGCCTTGTTTTCCTTTGATTTCCTTACAAAGAACGCTTTTGGACTGAAATGCAGGAAAACAAACAGACACACATAGACACACTGTCTCTCTCACACACACTCCACCTCCCCGACTGGAGGAGGCTTGTGTACAGAGCAGGTCTGGATCTTTATCAGGCGCCACAATTAAGATTAGCCAGGCCACAAACTGTCCAATTGCTGTTGTTATCGCAGGCTGTAATCCTCAAAGTGTGGCGAAACCATCTATCTTCTGTCTTTCTCTGCTTTGATTAGTTGTGCTCTCACTCTGCAGGCTGAGAGTACAGTAGCAGGCTTATTAGGCTAATGCTATATCAGCTTCACTGGAGCTTAGAACAGTTTGTGCAGATTAAAGCTAGAAGTGTCACACCTACAGTACATTCAGCATGGCTGAACCTCAGAAACAGCAGCTTCTGGTACAAAGAAAGCATCATATACAGCACAAAATAGCAGGGGATAACTATGGAAGCCCACTTTCGCCAGGCAGCAGGGAAAAATATTACCTATATTTAGTTTTTTTGTTCTGTTTCTGGCAGTTTTATGTCAAAATTTTGACTTGGTATTTTGAAATAATGACTTATTTTCTCAAAATATTGACTTATTATGTCTTAATAATGACATACTCTATCAAAATAATAATTCACTATCCTGTAATAATTAATAAATGATTATGTACTTTCTTGATATTTGATTGAAGATACAAAGTCAATACATACATACATACATACATACATACATACATCATCTAAACCGCTTATCCTTCTGGGTCGCGGTGGGGTGCTGGAGCCTATCCCAGCTGTCATTGGGCGGAAAACAGGATACACCCTGGACAGGTCGCCAATCCATCGCAGGGCACAAAGTCAATATTTCAAAAAAAACATTTTGAGATATTAGGTCAATATTTCAGAAAAAGAACGTATTATTTTCTTGAAATATTTCATAATAAGTCTCTATTTCAAGATATTAAGTCATATTTGGAGAAAATAAGTCATTATTTGGATATAATAAGTAAATCATATAAAAAATACATCAATATTTTGGCAGACTACTGCTAGAAACAGAGATGGAAAAAAAAAATCCTCTACTTGGCGAGAAGGAGACGTTACACACAAGCACACACTCTCAACCCGAGATTGTGTGTCTGTGCGTATACAATGAAACGCACAAATTACCTTCAGCATGTTATTATCAGGCAATCATACAAACACAGCCAAACGCAGGTGCGCTCTCTAGCTCTCTCTCTCACATACACACATATATATATATATATACACACACACACACAGAAACAAACAGTGAATAAGTACAATACCTGAGCTTTAACGCATTCCTGAGGAGGGGCCAGAATGAGATGAGAGCAGAGGAGAGAAGCAGAGAAGATGACGGTTATAAACAGCACTGAGAGTTATTCAGACACGCACACACACAGAGCTGGCGCAGCCGAGCCCTGCTGAAAAGCACTTTGCAAGTCATACTACGGGAGGAGGAGAGGGACACATTCTTCATAAAGGCTCGGCTACCTCGATCGGAGCGGTCTCCAGGGGCGACAGAGGGCAGTGCTGAGGACACACAGGCACACACGGTACTGTGCTCACGTCAGAGACCACCCTTCGTTTATTTATTTTCAGTCTCAACAACCATTAAGAGTAAGTCATTCGTTTTTTCACCATAAGAAAAAAAACAGAAAATATATAAAAAATTACACAAAAGACTCAACAACTAAATATATTATCACGTTTCTGTGTTTAGTGTGTCCACCCTTTACCTTTATTACGGTTTCTATCATATTAAAAGACTTATTTTTTAAAATATTTTTTTTCTTAGTTCAGTCTTAGAAGTTGGTTTCACTTTCTCTTTCTCATAATCCAAGTAAACCCAAACACGTTCAGTGATGCTGAGGTCTGGACTCTGGGGTGGTCAGTCTAAAGTTCTGAGAAACACCAGCAGCTTCTTTTTAGATTTTCTTTTATTTCTGTCTGCTTCCTTTTATCAGTGAGGGCTTCTTGACAGCTACACATTCTTTCAGACCCATAGCGCTGAGTCGTCTTCTCACAGTAGAAGGATGGACAGAAACACCTGTGGCTGTTTTCAGATCTGAAGCAGCTTGATTTTCTCCTCTCTCTCAAAGATGAAAGCTTTGGTTCTGGTGGTCTATCAGGTCTTGCATGGTTGTTAAGAGTCCCATTTTCTCTTTTAACCAGTGTTTAAGGTCCAGTTCTGTAACCTCCTGTAACTACCTTTGACATTCTCTGTGCAAGTGTACTATCATACATCGAATCTCCTCAGAAATTTCTCATGAAAAAATGAATAATGTACTTAGTGGCCATTTTAACTGCAAATTAACTAAACAAAAGATGTTCTCTGACTTTTGCACAGTACTGTTTGAACAGATGGCGTCATGAAATACAAAGTACAAAGCACAGACACATAAGAGCGTTCCACAAAAAGCGAGTGTGCCCCAAAACCCCCCAAAAAACTCAAATGGGCACATACACTTTAACAAGCAAGACACTGAACTAATTATGCATCTAAATAGCTCAGAAAGCCTGACTCAAAACACTGTGACTATGCTGCCTGAGGGAGTCCATTTAGCTATTGAACAATTAACACTGATTGGCTTAGAGAGGGAGAGGGAGCGGGAGAGTGTAATGGTGCCCATTTGAAGGCCAAAACAAGGCACTATCTATGAACTGGCTGTGTGGATGGAGCACATTCTACTCCACTGCCATTTGAAAACACTGGGGGCTCAGACGGCCTCTCTCACTCCGCTAACAAACACCATGCATTCGGTTCATTTCCAAGGCAATTCAGTCACAACTCCAAACTGTTATTTCACCATTCTAACTAAAGTGTTAGCCCACGTTGGTCTTTAAAGCAATGGTTTGACCAAAAATTCAGATTTACGCAATTTCCCCTTTAAGCCAAATGTAGTCAAACATTTGAGGCAAATATGCTACCTTAGTTTTGCACTGGAGCTATGAGACTAAGATAGCTAACAACTAATGTAAGCTTGCATCACAAATAGACTTGCTTATGTTGTTTCTGACTCTTTATACAACAGTTAGTTCCGGCCACACAAGCTGATTGGTTGAGAGGCGTTCTAACTGTGCTGATATTTCGCCATAATATCACAGTTTTTTCAACAAAGCAACGACTTTGACAGCTGTAGGAGACACTCAAGCCATTTGAACGTTTTTACTTCTTACTTTGCCACAAACAGAAAATGGACACTTTTAAGATCACATTTGACCGACAGCTGATTTGGTCAGACTCTGAGACATTAGCCAGACATGAACTGAATAGCATTCGCCAAACAAAATGGGCTGTAAGATGCTTTACAGACTGGCTGGAACAAAACAACATTAATACTGAGCTAAACTGAGCTAAACTTGATATTGTGGCAGTTTTATGGCATACTGTGCAGCGAATTTCGCGATGACACACTCCCTTTCGTTTTCTATTGCTTAAATATGACATACTGGTTTCAGTGAAAATGGACAAACATATATGCTTCTAGTTTTTAGCTATGCAATGAACCCAATTTTTATAGACAGTATGTGATACAGTGTCAGAATTCACATAAGCAGGTCTGCTTGAGATCACTCAACAACTTAACCTGGTCCAAGGCAGGAGTACAATGATTTAGATATGCACTTAACTCAATGCTAACTGTTATTTGTCAGCCGTTTACCCTCTTAGTTCCAGTGCACAACAAAAGAAGCTTCAGAAGCCTCTGACACCAAACTTGTCTTGACTGACTGACTACATCTGGTGGTCTGCTAGACTGTTCTGAACTAATGAACCAGTGGTAGAGTGCATGGAGGGTAATTATGTTCTTTGTTAATGACAGCTCAAATTATTTTTAAATAGCTCCAAAAAGTTTCAGTTGATGAAATACTCAGAGCAAAACTGAATGAAAGGTTTCTGAATGGAGCCCTATTTGAGCTAGATTAGCTTTTATCTGGGGAGGTACCATAATTTAAATGATTACCAAGGAGACCCGTAATTTGATCCAGTATGAATCTACAGTTTTAACAGCTCATAATTGTAGAGTGAATAGTTTTCTGTAATTAGTTGAACCAGGGGTCCCTCAGTAACAGCGGTCCTGTTCCAAACCACCTCATGCTAATTGAATAACAAAACTTTTTAATAGATATGGTTAAGGGTGGGAAATATGATGATATTTTATCTATTTTGTGACAAATTATGTCACAATATGCTTTTCAGAGCATATCATGGATATTGTCAGTACTTAACACTGACTGACTACATGTTTCATTAGAAAGTGAGCATAATCAGGCCTGTTTAATTGGACTTAGTGCAGTTCATTTTGTAAAACACTGGATAAAATCATCATAGTAGGTTTTATTATTATTATTATTATTATTATTATTAATATTTTACTATCCCACCAATCACAGAAGACGCTATATTGCACTACAGGTTCTAGTTTGCCTGTTCCAACTTATTAAATCTCAGAAAAATGTGAAGCATATCGTGTACCGTCAAAATGTCTTGAAGTATTGTAATACAATATTTTCACCGTGTTGCCCACCCATAGATATGGCTTTGTGGTGGGTTGTTGCTGTTACCAAGTGTGGCGCTTGTAGCATAATCTTAAAGTCAGCATCTGGGCTGTAACTTTCCAATCCATCGGTGGGAATCTGGCAAAACTAAACAGATATTTTAATTCTGCACTAACTAGCCAGTCAGGTTCCTTAGAAACATGAAGTAGTGCTGGATATTGTTAAAAATTGGTTTGTAATACCAATTTCTTGATTTCAATACCAATTCCTGAATGCTCCTTTTTCAGTACCTTCTTTTAAATTACAAATGAAATAGAGACCACAATGGACTGCACACTATTTGAGAAGCACCGTTAATAACATGAGCAATGTAGTTTAGGCAGCCAATCACCCATTTCTGAAACATGCATTGTTTCTGGCTCACTGATGCAGACTTTAAAATTAGGTAGTGAGATGTAGAACTGAATTATGTTTTTTTTTTTTTTACTTGGTAGTATTTTGGGAGAGGATTTCCTTGCCTCGCAAATCTAATCCAACTCCAAATGTGCTTTAGCCAAATCTGTGCCAGATGATGCTTAGTGTCTTATAATTTTGAAAATTCTACAAGACTAGGGCACATTTATGGCAAAACTCTGAAAAGAATCATGTTCTTTCAATGAAATTTCACTTTTGGCTATGCATCAAAGTTCCTGAAAATCCTAGCGTGATAATCAAATGCACACGCCCAGCATCTGGCCTTTAAAGTCACTCCCGCCAGTCACAGAAGACGCTACTCTGTAGGGCTTATTCAAAGTGGTCTGCACATGATCTTTGTTTGGGAACATGCAACCACGTCTCCACGCTCTTCCCACAGACTGCTTCAACAACTGGGAGCGGTTTGGGACAAAAACGTGTGGGGTCGTGGGAAAGTTTTGTCGTCTCTTTTGCTAACTCTGGCCCAAGGCTAAAGGAATATGATGCAAAGCTTTTTCCTGTGCATGGGAGCGAATTATTCCCAAACAAGTGAGGGAACACTGGCAGTTTTCCTTTGGGAATGAGAGGAATTCAAGGAACGGAGGAGAGCAAAATTGGGGAGGGGGGATGAAAAAAGAGGAATGTGCCTACGTGACTTCTCATTTCAGATGTGCATACCAACACTGCAGGGAACAGTGAAAAAAAACCCACACCCTATAAGCAAAACACAAACATTAAAAGATGATTACGCTGGCACTTTTCTGCAGCATCAGTCGGTGCAAGGAACACAAGCTGGACCCCAAGAAAGTGTTCCAACAGTATATAAACGACAATCAGCTTTGACCAGGGCTGTCGCAATTACTTGATAAAATATTCAGTAATTAAAATATACTTTCTCTGATATTCAGTCCAGCATTTCCTACTGATATTAAGTTGACACAGACACCTGGTATCGGATCAGTGTCATCTTTGAATAGTGTTTACGTTAGGGGTGCAAATATTATTATTTCTTGCAACTGATTTTTAATGTTTAATTGCGTTTTAAACCTGAAGCTCACACTGTGTAGGTTAAACAAACAAATGAAACATGCTAGCACATTTCTAGTACTTTCTATTAGCTACAATATAATGAATATTACTTACTCGTTTATGAGCTAAACTGGCATTTAAAATACATAAATGAAAAATCAGTTTAAAAAAAAACCTTATTTAAATTACATTAATCAAAGTGCTACAATGACAGTAAAGGCAACTAACAAGTCAAGACATTTTTTATATTTTTGTGCAGCAGTAACATTCAAATAACCTGTCCAGGGTGTATCCTGCCTTCCGCCCAATGACCGCTGGGATAGGCTCCAGCACCCCACCGCGACCCAGAAGGATAAGCGGTTTAGATGATGGGTGGATGGATGGATTGATGGAGTAACATTCAAATACAGCATGTGAACTTACCTGCCTCACGTTATTCACACTTATTTTTAAAAACATTTAAAATTTCAGTAAAGATCGGCCAATATAAAATAAATAAATAAATAAATAAATAAATAAACTGGCCGATTGCGTGTTTTGGGCAAATACCTGCCAATCCTCATAATGCATCCATAGTTTCTTTATGTATTTTTTAATTAAAGCTTTTTAAATGCTTTCTTGTTTGTCTTTCATGAATAATGTATTTTGGACTATATGAAAACAGTTATAATTTTATTTTTGGCCTTTTTGTTAAAACCCTGATTAGTCAATTAACTGCCAAAATAATATCTAGAGTACTCTGTTATTACTATAATTGATAATGATGGCCTTGTATTCAACCTCTCTGTCTTTTATCTGTCTCAGGCAGCATCCACAGATATGTGGATATTTTTAAAACATATTTTTTTCCTTTGTGTTTTTGTCTCCCATCCACAAATGAAAGGCATTATCGGTCACTGAAAACGGGTTTTTTAAAATGCTCTCTATAATTTGAATGGAGTAAAAAGTTAAAGAGACTTTTAAGAGATGGTGATGCAGCCCTGACAACATCAACAACCCCAAAGAAGCAAACAGTATGCATTGTTTTGCTTTTTGAAGCTTTTATTTTCTGTAGAAACTGGACTTTGGATTTGTGTGGAACAATGAATTTCAGAGGTCTGACAGCCTGCAAGTCAAAGCCTAGTGTGTTTGTATGCCGCTGGTTTGTGTGAAAAGCCTAATGATTACTGAGATTTAACATAATTAAGAAGCAAAAGTGGAGTCAATCAATCATGATTTGATTTACATTGGGTGGGACCAGTTCTAGGTAACTCTAGCTCTTCTGGAAGTCCTTGATACATCAGCGACGGTGAGTACGAGTGGTAGCTTGACCAATGTACTTGGAAAATGTTAGAAATTAAAAACAAAGGACAAATATTTTAATATGTATGTTCCTCTAAGCATTTAATCTAGAATGGACAAAAAATGTTCAGTAGCTTGGTGCTAACATACAGCTGAAATCCTTTAGGAGTGCTAACAAAAATCAGAATTATCGTAGGGGTGTTTTGACCAAGGTTCCTTGGTTGAAGGCCTGAATTGAAGGCCTGGCTCTAATAGTCACATTTCTCCACTCTCCATCATCATCTCTACTTAGCTGGAATGCTCATGTGAACATTATGGACAGAGAAATTTACAATGATTTTGGTGTGGGTGAAGTTATTTATTTATTTATTTATTTATTTATTGACAGCTACGAAAAAGCTACATTTTCAAAAATAGAACAATGCATGTGGACCAGGCCTCAGACGAGGGAGCAGCACATATGAAATGCTAATGCCAAATGTTCTTCTACCGCTGCTTAATAAATACCATCTTTCCCCTAAAGCCGTCTCTGCCTCCACTCAGTTGCACGCTGAGTTTGAAGCAGATGAGCGTGTAATGGAGCTTTGCTACCTATAGAGGATTAGCCTGCGTGGAGAAACACGGCCGTGTGAAAATGAGGCTTCTACCCACACTCCCTTTCTATATTTCCTCCACCGAGCTGGATCTGACTGATGTTGCGCACACAGCACCACACAAAGCACTAAATACACATACAAGCACAAAGCGGTGCAGAGCATCATACCACGACGAGCTGCACAGAGCACAGTGGGTTTCAGAGCAGAAACTGCTGGCACAGACAGAGTCTTTAGCCAGCACAACACAGTCCTTCTGACAATGGACACCCACAACAACAACTAGAGCACCTCGAGAGAGTGAATATGAAAGCTAGCACAAAACACAACGAAAAGGTCAGGAGAGAAAAACAGACAGGTACCGCACCAACAGAAACACAACAAAAAGAACTTCGGACAAACAGATATAAAGCCAGCATTCAGTCACACAGCACAACACAAAGTCCAGCAAAAAATAAACACCAGCACATTAACAGACTGAGCTATGGAGAACATTTGAGAAGGAGAAAGCGAGAAGAAACTGAACAGACACAGCTACTTAAAGGTAGGCTAACTCATGCTAGCAGATGCTTAGCACAGAGAGCTAGCAAGAAAATCAAACACTGAGGTAAAGGCAAAGAAGAATAAGAAGAGCACAGGAATGAAAAAGGCCACCTGGAGACAAGGATGGAGGTACGAGGTGAGGTACACAAAACCAGACATCAAGCTTAGCCAAGGAACTACAGAAGACATGACTAGCATGAAAGCTAGCAACAACGCTGTGGACAAATAATAAACATGTACAGCTAAAACATGGATGTATTCGGCCAGAGCGGTCTAGAAGAGCATTTGGTACCTTTGCTTAAAAAAAAAAAAAGTGTATTTTATCATTTAAGTCCCCATTTATTCTGTCAGACTTCCTGCCTTCCTGATTTTAAGCTTAATACCACAGAGTTTTTAAGATAGCATGCGTGTCAAGAGCAAAAAATATGCTAATTTTGGTATATTAATTTACCAGAGACATTAAAAGCACAAAGTGTATGGCTTAATTTGTGTTAGACCTGTCACATGGACTACAGTTAAAGGGCAAGCCCCCCCATTTTTCAAAATTTCTGCATCATTCCTTTGCTCAGATGTAAGGTCATTCAGGGTGGTTTAATGGTTCAGTGCAGAGTGGTGGTGACGGAAAGCAAAGGTTGAAGTATGTACAGTAAAAATATAGCCTAGCCATTTTATTCACTATGCAACATGATTAGCGAATTCACACATTTTCTGAGTTTTTACATGTATGCTGATAATGCCACAACTGAAAAAATATATATTTTTTTTTGAGAACTCTCTTGTCCTACTGTATCCAGCATGTACCTCTCCACCATGACTGGATTGCAAAAAGTTTCAGGCAAAAAAATTTTTGCAAAGCTATTTTAAAACAACGCCTCAGGCAACAGGCAAAGAATAAGTAATCATTTCATGTAGTATCTTTCTTTTAACAGTAAACACTTTGGACGTCTGGTTCCCATCGCCACTGCTATGAACAATTCGGACTTGTTTAGTTTCTCCAGAATGGAGCATTTCACCACAAACCACTCTACATTACTGTATTTACATCTTAACCATTTTATTTTTTAGTTATCTATTCATTTATGTATTAAAAAAATAATATTTTAATTACAGAGACATTGGAAAAAAAGGAATTCTCCTTCAATAATCAGTGATAACAGACTAACTAAACATAGAGCTAGCAAGATGTCAAAGTTAGCTAGCTTGGCCATACTTCCTGTAACGTACAGAGATCATAATTCTCATTCAGAAAATCCACCACTGTCATTAGATGGCGTTACAATGAACCTCAAATAGTTAATTTATACCATTCTGAAATGCATGTAGGCTGTCTATCATTAGAAATGTTGGCCTGTTTGCAAGAACAGTACTACAGATTAGACAGTTTTGCAGACAGACACCACAAGCACATACCAAATTCTGTTATCTCACCCATGCACTTCTCTACATACAATCCACTTCTGTTTTTTTGTTCTCTGCTCTCTTTGTTAATTATTGCTGACAAACAAGGCTGAATAGCCCATTCAAATGGCTGAAGAAGCACGTTTCTAACAGAAAATGATTGAGCAGTGTTGCTACATACATACTGAAGTCCAGAGAGGGCTATAGACAGGCAAAGAGGTGAAGGCTAGTATTGTAATTAATAGTTATTAAAAGTAAATTGTTGTGCAATTGCAAACTAACATAGTTAAGAGATGATAAGGTACAGGAAATCTGAGCTATCATTAGTTCCCCAGCTATGATAAGCTGTACGAAACTGAGCAGCTAAAACTAAGGTAGGAACTTCACAATAAAAACCAGCAAGTTAAACGCAAAAGCACATTCACAGCAGCATCTGACGTCGTCCCGAAGCCAAACTGCAACAAAAACCAACACAAACGCAGCACAGTCACAAGGGGAGGGTGAAGTTGTGTGAAAGTGAGCGGAAGGTAAAGGTGTGGGACTGACCGTGTGGTATCCGCGGGCTACGGGCGGTTTGCCTGCGGGGTACGGGTCCACTGTGTCGATGATGGTCTGCCGCTCGCCCTTCTGGTTGATCTTGCGGAACCTCCGGCGGGACTGCCTGTGTGATGCCTGGCGCTGAAAATACTCCTCATTCTCATCCATATAGTCCACCTGCCGACGGAAGAGAGAGATGAGTGATTCTCTACCTCTCTCGCTCCCTCCCTCCCTCCCTCCCTCCCTCACTTTGTGTCTTCCCCCCTCCCACCCTCTTCTCTCTTGCACTGCGTAAAAATAGCAGTGGGTGTGTGAGCCTGTCTGTACCGCGTGTGAGTTTGTGTGTGTGTGTGTGTGTGTGTGTGTCTCTGTGTGTGTGTGTGTGTGTGTCGAGCCTCAAACGCCTACGTCAAAGAGGAGAACAGAGAAAACTGAGGCGAGAGAGAGGAGGATGCTTCCTGTGTGCAGCAGGACAGGCCTCTGCTGAAGATTTTTGGGTCTCTCTCGTGAGCTGCAGGTGTAGTGGACATGCTGGGGTCATCAAACTGGCCGAGCAAAGCTTGTGCTAATGTTATACTGCGTCATACTGCTTGAACAAATATTTCTTTCACGTCATCTTTCTACTTCAATATGCACTAACAGAAACATGATGCATACAGTAATACTTCATTCAATACTTCATGTAGTTATATTCTTCATAAGCAGCATGAGAAATTATGGGAATTATGTGCAGATATCCGACATTGTTTGAGGTACACACCTGGTAATACATAAACATGCTAATACTTATAATAAAATATAATGTTATTAAAATATAATAAAAGTCCCAGATAAATAGCAATTATTATCTAATAGTTTGTTAACGCTAGTAAATAATTATATAAAAGTTATGTGTGGATTAGTAAGTGCTACAATTTGAATTAAAAGGCCTAACCATTCACTAAGTGACACAAGTAATCACAAATAAGTAAGCGAGCACTGTAAATACTTTTCATAAATGTATGATATTAAATGTAAAAAGTAATATGATAAATCTTTATAAATACATTGCCATGTCACAACTTCATAGTAGGGGTCCAACTGCTTATTAATGTTTAAAAAAAGTTTATATTAAGCACATAATAATGATTGATTAACTTCATAACTTACTCATTTAAAACAGGACGTTGACAATGATTTATTCTTAATTATTATGGAGGAGCATCATTTCAAAATCTACATGGCCACCAAATAAGTGAAGACAGTGCACAACTTCTAAGCCATCACTAATAAATGTCAAACAATCTATCTAACAATTGCTAAATAATAGTGCTGTTAACTAGGGCAGATGAGCCTGTTAGCATTAGCTTAGCTAGCATGAAAACAGCTCTGCGTACCACAGAACATGTTCGATTCTGGCTAACTAAAACAATACAGGTTTAGCTGATTTTTCAAATCTGAGCAAGTGAAGTCGAGCTAAGGGCGCTGAAAGGTGAAAGGTGAGATTAAACCTGTTCCGTGGTCTCTGCAGCCGTGGTTTCTGCAGACTGATCAGTGATCATGTTTTAAATACTGCCTTATACCTTATTACTGTCGTAACGGCCAACCCTATCAAGAATTGTCCAATTTAACTAACATTGCCTACCTACTAGTTTGGTATCATGATAACTCTAGCTGCAACCTTCCATAAACAATCTATTAAATACTACTATTAATATTACTTAACTGACAAATCAAACCATTATGACTGTCCTCTGTAGCTGCCAACATTCAAATTTCCAGCTGTGTAACTCTTCCATGGTTAAACAAGATAACAAAGGGCTTTATCGCCACCTACACTTCCCATAGTGTACTGCAATTTGTCAGAATTACCTTTTTTTTTAAATAAATGACACATAATGTCATCAAGCGCTGATCCATCGAGTTTAAGTGTTTTGTATCAGTAAATGATTAATGAAGTTGCACTGAGATGCAGTGAGGCATCAACACATGATTTTAGATTTATATGGAGGAAGTGCTAGCCGGAGTGACATTACACCCTGACAAGGGAACATGATTAAGAGAGTTAAGACATTACCATCTCTCATTTCTCACTCATACACACACTCTTTCTCTCCCTCTCTACTTTCGTTGCAGCCTCACATTTCACACCCCCTCCGCCTTTGGGATTACACATCAAATCTCTCGCTACCTTACCAACCGCTGCTATGGCAACTGCCGGCGAGCGCCGAGCAGTGGGAATATATTGGGGCTGTGTGAGCGAGAGCAAGTGCAGTGTCCATATCCTGCCTCGCTTCGTAATTACAGGGCCACACCACCCAGTAATAACCACCAGCAACTCCTCTATCACCAACTGCAGCTGAGAGAAACCATTGACTGTGCTGGAGATTAGCCGAGTCTGAACATATCAACCATGCACGGGCTCATGCACATACACCTACACACAGGTGCCTATTTGTTATCTGTCTTTCTTTATCTATGTACATGCATCACCAACATAGGTCTGATATCTTTAACCAGATTCCATGGATGTAACGCATATCACTGTTGTCGGAAGAAAACCTCGTAACCTGGTAACTTTACAGGGGAAGTAAAAAACCTACTTTACTTTTAATGTTAGTCAATGGAACCAGAGTTTTTCCACAGGTCCTTTTGAGCCATTTTTTCAGTCCATTCATCATTAAATTTACATACAATGTAAAGGGTAACAGGAATTTTCATATTATGTCAAAAACTGAAAAACGACAAAAATGGATGACGAGGTTTTCTTCCGACAACAGCGATATGCATGATCAGCAGCCCTGGATGTTCACTGGAGAAATTTCAGCAGCTGGATAAAATCATGCTCTAATCTTGGAATAGTTTGTAGAAAAATTAAAAGTTCAAGTTTTTCCTCTTTTACTACAAGAAGTGGTGTCTGAAAGTTTGCTTTCTTAATTTTGCGCTGGAGCTATGAGGATAATTTAGTTACCAAGTAATGGAAGCTTATGTTGCGCTCGACTCAAGCTGGAAGTGGAAGCTTGGAATTGCATATTTTTTTTACCTCTGTATGTATACTAGCCACAAAGAGGGAAAAATTGAGTAAGAAGCTAATCAGCTAACACTAGAGATATGAGTGATACCTTTGATGTATTCACCTTATCAAAACAGCAAATTTTATAGATCTAACCAACGGCTGTGTCTGAACGGTGACTGATCCAAAGCAAATCTCATTTAAAAGCAAAGAAGTGGTGCTTTATTACTACTGATGGTGTGAGTAGCCATGCTGACTTGATGCCATATGCTGAGCTTGGAATTGAGAATTCCCAGGCAAGGGGGCATTTTCATTGTTTTTTCCTAACTGAGGTCAGAATTTCCAAATCATGAGTTTGTTAAGCACAGCACTGTATCTCGCCAATCATTGTTCTAGCTTCCTGAATAAATCATCACACTCTGTACAGAATTATGCACAAAATTCAGGCTTCTGAATGACTGCTACTTCTGTTTTCAGCTATTCAATATAGCTGAAGATTAACTGTTTTAATAACAGAGCAATTTTCGAATTGCAAGAGCAGCAAATTTAATTATAGCCTACATAACCTCAGCTATTTTAAATGGAAAAATTTAACACTGAACTGCCTGTAGAGGAGCTAGACCAATCAAATCAAAACAACACAACCACATCTAACTGGAAGCAACTAGCAGTGTTCAAAGCTTCAAGTCAGAAAAAGAAAGGCTGAACATGTTTGTCTTCGTGGCCCAAAATCACAGGACTGGAGCTTAATTTCTAGACAATAATCACAATGTAAATCGCAGTCACATGACTGGTTAGAAAAATCACAATTAGGTATTTTCCCCCAAATGGTCAGCCCTATTATTCAGCATCCTTCCTTCCATTTTCATTTAATTTTTTATGTGATTACTGTCATTGCATGACATACTGTTTTCAAGAAAAAAGGACAAATGTAGAGACAAAATTAAGGTTTTACGATGGCTACAGCTCAGTTTTTAGATAAGCGATATACTTTTTCTCAAAAATTATATAAACAGATTGTTATACATAATCAAGTCTATTTGAGATTACTTAACAAGTTGAAACAGTTTGAAGTGAGCGGGGAATAAATTACGTATGCACAGTGTTAATTGTTACACTGTTAAAAAGTTAAAGAGGTCAGCTCAACTCAAAATGATATAGTAACTGATTACATGGCTTTTCCTGAGTTGACTTAACTCGAGCACACAAGAGTTTACACAACTCGAACGTCTTAGTTGAGTCAAAAGTTCTCTTAAATTTTTTGTTCTCCATCTCACTGAGGTAAATAAAGTAAACTTGTTTTTTCATACTCAACTTCCCCACTAGCCAGGGCTCTTTCTATCACACAATCCTGCTAAAATTTTCTTCCTCTTGAATACGCACTTATGGATGGCTATGGCATTGCTGGGACTCAAACTCACAACCTCCTGTTGGGGTGATGGCTTGGTCCACTGCACCACTCAGGAACACATGAAACTCAGATTTTGTTTCTACAAATGTTTAATATACTGGAGAAAATATTTGTTGTTTTAACTTTAAAGCAAAGCAATGAGGTGCAACTGTCTAACAATTCATCCCGACATCAGGAGGTTGTGAGTTTGAATCCCAGAAATACCATAACTGTACATATCCGGAAGCCCCAGGGGAAAATATGCCAGAAGGGAATGTGTGATAGAAGGAGCGCCAGCTAATGGGGAAATTGAGTAAAAAACATGCAAATTCAGTTTTGTTTATCTAACTAAGATGCAGACCTAGAAATAGTAGCTGGGAGAATTTTTGACTCAACTAAGAAGTTTGAGCTGGGTGAACTCTGGTGTGCTCGGTTACTATATCATTTTAAGTTGAGCTGACTTCTCATTTTTTAGTGTAGGGATATAAAGCTGCCATTACTGGTGCTGTATCTCAGATGCAAAACTAAAGAAGCAAACTTCAGACACCGTAGATGTCTTAGCTGATGAAGAAAGATGTGTAAATTTGATTTTCATGATAAAATGTTCCTTTATAGGAGAACCTCAGCACAGACAGGAAGCCACAGTGAACAAGCGCAAGACAGAACTGGCTAATTTCAGAGAGATGGGCCAAAGATGATTTGAAGAGAAAGATAAAGCATCAGCAAAAGGTCAAATGTGCAGAGGAGATAAAGACGTATATTAAGAAGAATTTGAAGAAATGCTGTGTGAATACACGTCTACTGTCTAGACCAGTGGTTTCTAATATAGTCCTCAGCCAACCCCCCAGACAGTCCACGATTTTCTGCATCCCTATATGTTTCGGGTTGTGTTGGAGCACAAATGTGGACCGTATGGAGAGGCTTGAGGACCAGGTTGGAAACCACTGGTCACGAACGTTCTACAGTGAACTGTACAGTTACGCTCTGGTAACAGGAGAACTCACCACGATCATCTCCGACGGCTCCAGGACGATGCACTCACATCCGCGACGCAAGCTTCCAGCAGAGCGCTTCCCAAAACTAGGAGAGAAAGAGGACAGTGTATTACTTGTGGAAGCATTTACTGAGAATAGAAAGGCTCAGACTAAAAACCTGTTGATGGGATGCTAACACACACAGACACACACTGCAGTGTTCCCAATCTGGGCTGCAAGATTCCACTGGGAGGAGAAAGATCCCAAGACTGGAAAAGTTCACCGGTTGACATCACAGAGCTCATGAATGGAGCACAGTGCCAGGCAGTGGGTGTGTGTGAGAGGCTTTATAGAAAAGAAATACAGAGGGAACCCACATATGGAAATACAGCGTGGAGTGAAAACACTTATACATAAATAGGCACACATTCCAACATGTATGACTTGACCTCCTTGAACTCTGGGATTATTATTCAGTTATTCATTAATTATCCATTAATCTTGAATACTCACTTGACATTTAAACATTTTATTTTAAATTCTACAAACTGTTCACCAAAAGGTATTTTTAAAAGTGAATATTCATCTTCAATGAATTAAATTTGAGAAACTGATTTCCACTTGTGAAATATGGTAAACTCTGGATAACAGCATTCTTCTTATTATTATTATTATTATCATAATCTTATTGTTATCGTTGCTTATATATATATATATATATATATATATATATATATATATATATATATATATATAGTATACACACACACACATACACACACACACACACCTCTAATTATAAGAGTGAGGAATCGTGGAGGTCTACATACAGACCCTCAAAGTTTAGGAGATTAAAATGAACTGCAATAGAAGTAAGATTTGTAAAAGTGTTCAGATTTTATTTACTAATTTAAGCAGTAAGATTCAACAATACAATTCACATATTTATTCTCAATTTTAAATCTGAGCTGTGTTAATATTGCTCACAGTGACCCCTTTTGTCACTGTCCTGTTTTGCTCATTGGTTTGAGCAATAATGCTGCTGGTTGCTGGTAAAGCACTTTTCTTTAACAGGAATGAGCTGACCACAAGCACAAAAGTCCAGAGCTCACACACAGACACAACTCTTCTGTTGGGAAACAAGTTAGTGCTACGTCAACCAATTCTATATTAATCTGACCAATGAGTCTCATTAGTGCTGCTGAGCTGGGGTTTAATAGGTGAGAGATTAGGCACTTGAAAACATGGGACTGTGCCCTCTCGATGCATCTTTTTTTTCTATACAGCGTTTCTATTTTCTCACTGTCTGAAGACTTGGTACTTTTAAAACAAAGTATTTGTAATGATCCATAATGAATTTACTTCCAATATCTTTTATTAATAAATCAAATGGAAGTGATGTGGGTGGGGTGGGGTGGGGGGGGTCGCTGTGTCAGTGAAATATCTTCGAGACGGGTCGTGTGCAACATAGCGAGAAAGCCCAGTTTCGCAACGACTCCGCAGACTGCAGGTCGCATAGCAGCGACGCGTTATTCGCATGTATAAGCAGCGCAGTTGGTTTCCTGGTACGTTAAATCTGTAACGAGAGACTCTCAAACACTAAACGGTTGCGAAGATGAAGTCGCTTCTTCTCCAGCTTCTTGTTCGAATTTTCCCGTTCCACCTTAAATGGTGCCGGATTTACATTCGGCGCCTCAGTCAGAATTTAAGGTGGAACGGGAAAATTCGAACAAGAAGCGACTTCAGCCTCGGAAAACAGTCGAACGCTGAGAGACATTTGAGGAAACTATTGAACTTTTGAGGAAAGGTTTTCTGGCGGAGATGGGAGGAAAGCGGCTACAGCTAAAGCTTAAAGCAGAGCGGAGTAAATCTGCGCTCTCGTTTATATTGTTTAGCCTATACTAGTACATTAGCACACACTGACACATACTGGACATTAAATGTGGCTCCCAAGCTGGTTTAATTTTTGTTGAAAGGACAAAATGTCTCTTCTGATCATTTGTGTTGTGACTCCTGATCTGACCTGGCTTTAATGCAGAGGGAGCCGGTCGGATTTCTCACTCATCCAGTTGTGTTTTTGTTGTGTGCCGCCACAGACTGTCCGGGCGCTGCACTTCCGAACTTTCAAGTTCCGCCTTTTACGTTCCGCCAACATTACATTATAAATTAAATATTTAGAAAAACGATTTTTGACATTTGTGAATCGATTCAGAATCGTTCACGTCCGCATCGCGATGCATCTAAGAATAGATTTTTTCCCGCACCCCTACTTTGCATGATTAAAGGGTTATTTGCATTGTGAACAGGTTCTTCAGATTGATGGAGAATGGTTCTTCAGATGCTGTAGATGGTTTCATTTTGAAAAGGGTTCTATATAGTACCAAAAAAGGGTTCTCCTATTGCTACAAGTTTGGCATCATAACATTAGAAGAACCCTTTTGGGTGCTATCTGTTTTTTCGGGGCCGATATTGGTTATTCGTAATCAAGGATGCCAATAACCAATATTTGATGCGGGACCAATATTCATTTACCATAAATTTGATGGTCGTAGTGAGATAATTTACAGAAATGCATTTCTATTGGTCCATTCATCATGAAATTTTCAGCTGTTGTGTTAAAATGATGTAGAAAAATAATAAAAATCGGCAAAAAATAAAAATAAAATTTATATACATACACACACACACACACACACACACACACACACACACACACACACACACACACACACACACATACAGACTAAATGAACAGATAAAAAATACAGTGCTTTAATTTTTTTTCCCCCAAGGTGGAAAAGGTGCAATGCCCCACTAATACATAAAACCACAATGATTCTTATTCAAACATGCTGTGCTGCACTAAATCCAACTAAACTCGGACAACTATGCTCTCTGTCAAAAAAAGTTGCAGATGGTCAGTGTACTGACGAAGTACTGATGACAACCACAATATACTCAGAAAAGCATGAGTTATCAAAACATTTGCATACTCTCCAACTCTAACATACAACCAATCTCATTTTCCATACATTTCCTGACAATTCTGAGATGCTCCTCTTCACAGTGTTGACTTAACATTCTCATTAATATCAAAAACTGTTGTATATAAGGACAGTTGTCCATATAAGTATATACAGAGATGGTAAAAGCCAACAGGTGGGTATCCCAGCATGCATTGGCAGCTATTTCTGCTCTTTATTGTGAGACCACACACTGTGAGGGTCTCCTCCATCTCATATTGTGCCTTTCCATTTCAGCTCTGAAATGACTGTAGCTGACCGCTTACCAGAGCAGCTCTGTATTCACTATTTCACTTCAATGATGCAGTTGACATCAGCTTATATTGCCCACCACTATCATACACATCAGGCAAACCTGACGTCCAGTAAACAGACACGGTTCCCATTTAAAACCAGGAAGCATGAGCTTAGAACAGAAAGATTTATGAGCAGCTGCAGTTGTAGAAGCACATTCCTTGGCCACTGAGCTCAGAAGAATTCAGTCCAGATTCTTTCCTTTTTTTCTGCTCCTGAGAGACATGATGCCCACCCTGCTGGCCTCCACATTCCACGTTACACAACGTCCGTGGTGTCTGGAATGTGATTTGATGACGACAACCACAACCACAACCACCCACACAGAGGTTTGTTTTTATACAATGTCAAGACTTGGGGTCATACATATCTCTCTCTTATATATATATATATATATATATACACACACACACACACACACACACACACACACGTATGTGTGTGTATATATATATATATATATATATAAAATATGGAGATAGAATAAGGCTAGAATCATTTTGTTTCTTCTGACATTTTAGGTTCCCCCTATTTTTCTGGATTTATGGACATTTTTGTCCCAGAAATGAACAAAAACAACACAAAGCCCCACAGAGACACATTCAAACATACAGGACAAAATCCACACTTCCCAAAGAGCATGGGGACCCCACAAACTCAAAGTGCTTTTACTTTTTCTGCCCTCCAATTCCACATTTTAAGCCAAGATTAAAGATTCATTGTGTAACTGCAGTCAGGGAAGGTCAACAAGGGTTAAAAGGTTTATAAAATAATGTGATGATATTCTACTGCAATGCCTTAAATCAATTAATACATACATACATAAAAACATGTAGTGAAAGAAAAACAAAAAAAAGCATCCCAGCACTGCACTAACTGCACGCCTCTCATGAACACCCAAACACCTCCAACCTTTTATTAGCCCACAGTGCAGTACGGAACAGAATGCACTGGACACCAACAGCATGACCGGTGCACTTTAACTAGCAGCACTACACTGAATGTATTCAGCACTTATTATACTTCGTTTCCCATAAAGCAGAAATGACAACTCAATCATTTTAAATGAAATAAATAAAAAAATAAAACAGATTTAACAAATTGATTCAGTCCATTTTGACCTATTTATAACAATATCTATTTTGACAGTCCTATGTACGTCCAATTTGACCATTATACAAAGAAAAAAAAACAACGAGTCAAGTGCTAAGTAAGTAAAAAATAAAGTTTTTAGAACACTAACACACAAACTACCTGTTGTTAAACGCTATACCTTTCAATGTCACTTCAGGGAAAAGTTCCTTATGGAAGCATAACCCCAATCCAAATCCTAGAGAGCTCTATATCCATCCGCAGGGATCTTTCCGGCACAAATACTCCAAACAAAGTGTTTCATCGGTGCGTCTTCCAATATGAGCGCGTACTAAGAACAAACACAGTAGATCCAACACAACCTTCCTGTATACACTCCATACACTCTCCCCCTCAGCCCTCACTCAGCCCGCTCTGTTTGCTGCCTTCATGCTCTGAGAGTACGCAGTAGTGGTGCATGTGAGAGACCGAGTGTGCGAGTGTGCGCCGCTGGGCGTTAGTGATGACGGACTGGTGCCAAAATTCCAGCCAGCCTCTTGCTTCCTGCGAAGCTGAGAGGGAGGGGCTAACTTCCAACCACTAAACACTGACCTCATGACCTCTGCTCCAAACAGTAGAAACTAAGGTTGAGAGACAGAGGCAGGGAAAGAAAGAGGAGAGGAAGACAGAGCAAGATTTATAGCTCTAAACTGAATTT